GTTGACCGAGCAAATTGGCTCCAACACCAGGCGCAATTCGAGTCGTCATGGAGCAACCCTTGTTATGTTAAGCTTCTATTCTATCATGAATGGATACAAAACAATTACAATTGCAATACATGAGTGTCAAATCGTCGAATAGGTTATGCGCAACACTTACACTTGCGAAAAAGAACAAGAAGCTGAACCAAAACCCACAGCGACAAGAGTGAAACCAATTAGTGGAGCTGAACATTAGCACACTCTTCATATAAATTCCAACAGAGCGGAACAACGTAACAACTTTGAATTTATTAAAATTTTAAATGAAAATTTGATGTTATTATTATATTTTAATTTTAAATGTAGGATAATGTAACGACTAACTTAATATAAATTTAAATGATTATATATAAGTTATAATAAATACATAAAATTAATGTAAAATAATAAATTATAAATAAATTGCTTAAATCACAAATCAAATCATATAAATTGATTTGATTTTCTATTATAAAAAATCATGCATAATACAAATTGATATAAAATTATAAAAATTATATATATCAGAGATTTCTTCACTCTGCTTAAAGCAAAAGTGACCAGACAAGCAAAAAACAGACCGAAATCTATAAATTGTAACTAGAATAGCATGATAATATGAAAAAGTGAGGAGCCAATGGCCTCGTAGCCTAGTGGCATCTCCCCTGGTCAATTGGGGTGACTGTGGTGATCAAAGTTGGAGATTCAATCACCCCACACTCCATTTCCCTGATTTTCCCACCCTATATTTGCATTTTTTCCTTCCCCAAATACAAGGGAGGGTCTTCTACCTTTCCTAACTAAAAAATAAACAGTAAGAAGTATGGTAGTAAGTACCATAATAAAGGGTGTTAGGAACACAAACATCTTACCAGGTAATATACGAAGTTTAAAATAGGATGATCCAAGACATCGAGGTTCGCATTTTTATCAAACGCATTAAAGCACATCTGATACAACAAAATATGACCAAACTCAATTTCGAAACCAAGCAAACAGGAATCACTAAGAGTTAAAAGCAAACAGGAATCACTTAGAGTTAAAAATAAAAAGAGCTCACCATAATGCATCTGACAAGGAAACATAAAAAACATATGGTTGTCACATAGCCAACCTACAATAGAAACATCATGTGGATTGTTAGAATATATTTAAGTATTTTCAGATTATCTACAAAAATATCCATCTAGTATCATGTTAAATTATTATTTGGAAACCCTATTCTCTCTTTTTCTCTCTCCTTTTTCACTATATAAGCCATATAACTTTAACATGATATCCAAGTAGTATTGTCCAGCATGATTTGGTCCTGACACTAGTTGGCTGCTGCTGAGTTTCTTTACATCTGGAACTCCTAATGTCTTTATCGCTATGATTCTCATACTCACTTTTATCCTTCTACCCATTATTGTTTCACCTCTTCCTGGCAACCAATCTTATTTTTCCATAGTGTCTCCGTCCTGTATCTCTTTGACAAACCCTAACAGCAGAGCAAGCTGGGAGCAAGGTTTTGATAAGAACCCAGGCACTAGGGGAACCCTCCCTTGAAAGCTAGTTGTTGTGGAGGGGGAACCAAGTATTTAAATACTGCACCGAGCATCCCATACTGCTTAATGTGGTACTTAGGCACCCCATAATACCAAGTCACTTTCAATTTTCTCAGTCACACCTCAATTCTGCCATTCTCTTTCCTCTTGTTGCCTCAGATTTGGCAACATCTCTTACCACCAACAATCTTTGCAGTGGTGACTTTTATACCAAGGAACACTCAGCGGTGAGCTTTTGCATTGTATTTCTAAATTTAGGTAATTTAATTATTTAATTATTTAATTATATTAATACATTTCATACTATAGGCTATGAGCTTTTGCATTGTATTTGGATTCATTTTTTTTCAGAGTGAAGTGTTTTGGAGTATAAGAAAAATTAATATCAACTAGGATGTGAAAAGATAAACAATAATATAATTATTTAAGAATAAATTTAATGTAAATTCTTTAGGAGAGGGTAAGTTAAAGAAGAGGGTAAGTTGTTAATGGGGACTGCAGATAAGCAATTGGGATACCGAATAGAATCATTCCCAAAATAGGACCACTATTTTTATTATATTAGTGGGCTTCAATTTATATTAGTAATGCTACACTAGTTAATTGACCAGATTATTAGCACAGATAGGATCACTGTTTTAATTCATGTATGGTATTTTTACACAAATGACAATACCAATATAATCTTATAGAGTATTCCATTGCTCTCTATTCCTTTTAGCTTAGCTAAGCCTAATAACTTTAACATAGATTAAGATAGCATTTAATTGAGTTTCTTAAACTTAAAGGCTACTTTGAAGTTTAAGTTAAAAATAAGAAGTTTAAATTTAAAGTTAAAGCTCTTTAGTAATTCCACAATTTTTTAAGCTTAAACATTATTCAGTTAAATTCTTTTGGGAGGGTGTCCTTGGACCTTGGGGTTTGGAATTAAGAACGAGAAGTAGAAGCTAAAAGCTCCTAAAACTAGTCTTTTTGAAGAATCCTTTTTTCTATAGTTTTCTTCCTTTTAAAAAAAGTGCTTTAAAAGTTAAAAGCTCCTTTTTAAAAAATTATGTTTGCCCTAGCTTATTTTAGAAAGAGAAGCCCAAGATAAGCTAGGCCAAACACAACCTCAAATTGAGGGAGGAAAGAAATAATTGATGGAATTTAGACATTAAATCATCAAATTGCATACCTCTTGCAGCTTCTTACGTCGCCCTTTAGATTCAACAGGAAAGCGTTGTAGCATTAAGAACAGTCTGTAAAACATAGTCAGAAAGGAGACAGAGCCAGAGAAGTAAGAAGGTAATACAGATGGGTATGTAAAATACAAGTACATTGACAACATTAAAATTTTCAAATTAAAAATATAAGTTAAAAGTGCTGGATTTAGCATCTCGCTCTCACAACCCCCTTAAAATTCTCCTATTTATAAAAGGAAATTTTGTTTGAGAACAAGACACAGACACAGCAAGATAAGTTAAACTAGTAAACAGAGAAGAAAACTGATATAGCTAGCCCCAAAAGCCTAGAAATATAAAGCTAAAAAATGTCTCTATAAAAATGAAGAAAATAAAATAGAATCAATCAGCTAGGCCAAACACTAACTTCCTGATAAGTCATAATGCAAACAAATGGAATCAAAAACCAATAGTATAAAGGAAATATGCCTCTAAAAATGAACTTGCAAATAGCATTGATCAGGGAATTGGTTTCGATTAGAATCAGGTCCGATCAGTAAGTAGCAAGTAAAGGGAAATGCCATAATTTATTTACCATTCAAGACCAAAATTCCATGAAAACCAAAATTCCCTCCGTAGTCTTGTGAATCTAATGCAGCAACATAGCTCAAATTTTGAAAACTTTACTTGTATCACATGTAAAACCAAATAAAGTAGTTTGAAATTTTCAAAATCTTAGGCCCCAATTGGGATGGTTGCAAGTTTTTGGTTTTCAAATTTAATTTTGAAGAGAAAACATGTTTGGCAAAACTGGAGCTAAAATGGTTTTTAACTCAATTTCAAAAAACTTTTACAGTCATCTTCAAAACTATTGGGAAAAACCCAAGTCCCGCAAATCTTAGATCATTAAAAAGGGCCACCCACCATTTATCCACGTACCAAGCCCACTAGTGTTGGACGTGAGGGGGGTGTATTGGGAAAAACCCAAGTCCCGCCAATCCTAGATCATTAAAAAGGGCCCCCCACCATTTATCCACGTACCAAGCCCACTAGTGTTGGACGTGAGGGGGGTGTATTGGGAAAAACCCAAGTCCCGCCAATCCTAGATCATTAAAAAGGGCCCCCCACCATTTATCCACGTACCAAGCCCACTAGTGTTGGACGTGAGGGGGGTGTATTGGGAAAAACCCAAGTCCCGCCAATCCTAGATCATTAAAAAGGGCCCCCCACCATTTATCCACGTACCAAGCCCACTAGTGTTGGACGTGAGGGGGGTGTATTGGGAAAAACCCAAGTCCCGCCAATCCTAGATCATTAAAAAGGGCCCCCCACCATTTATCCACGTACCAAGCCCACTAGTGTTGGACGTGAGGGGGGTGTATTGGGAAAAACCCAAGTCCCGCCAATCCTAGATCATTAAAAAGGGCCCCCCACCATTTATCCACGTACCAAGCCCACTAGTGTTGGACGTGAGGGGGGTGTATTGGGAAAAACCCAAGTCCCGCCAATCCTAGATCATTAAAAAGGGCCCCCCACCATTTATCCACGTACCAAGCCCACTAGTGTTGGACGTGAGGGGGGTGTATTGGGAAAAACCCAAGTCCCGCCAATCCTAGATCATTAAAAAGGGCCCCCCACCATTTATCCACGTACCAAGCCCACTAGTGTTGGACGTGAGGGGGGTGTATTGGGAAAAACCCAAGTCCCGCCAATCCTAGATCATTAAAAAGGGCCCCCCACCATTTATCCACGTACCAAGCCCACTAGTGTTGGACGTGAGGGGGGTGTATTGGGAAAAACCCAAGTCCCGCCAATCCTAGATCATTAAAAAGGGCCCCCCACCATTTATCCACGTACCAAGCCCACTAGTGTTGGACGTGAGGGGGGTGTATTGGGAAAAACCCAAGTCCCGCCAATCCTAGATCATTAAAAAGGGCCCCCCACCATTTATCCACGTACCAAGCCCACTAGTGTTGGACGTGAGGGGGGTGTATTGGGAAAAACCCAAGTCCCGCCAATCCTAGATCATTAAAAAGGGCCCCCCACCATTTATCCACGTACCAAGCCCACTAGTGTTGGACGTGAGGGGGGTGTATTGGGAAAAACCCAAGTCCCACATCGACTAGAGATTAGGCAATTAAATAGTATATAAGTGGAGAGCAACCCTCACCTTACAAGCCGATTTTGTAGAGTTGAGTTAGGCTTAATCCACTATTCTAAGAAAAACCAAGAAAGAAAAAAAAATTGTAGTTTTGGTTTAGTTTAAAAAATCAAAAACAATTTTTCACTACATTTGACAATAACCCTTTCCATTATCACCACTAGCACCGGACCTGACTGACTATGACTAACTAAAGACAAAAATCATCCCCGGACCTATTAAGCTGGTTTCGTGTTTATTTTCAAAAGAATTACCTGTCCCAGTTTCAATAAATTTCAAGTTTGGCTAAAAATTGTCCATACTGCTTGCCACATTTTCAGATTATATCTGTTTTCTTATTTAGATACAACTGAACTTAACATATATTCTAAAGTTTTTCATTGGGATTAGGGATAAAAACAATTTGAAGGCCAATATCCCCCCCCCCCTCCTGCGCCACCCAAGGGGATGAAAAACAAACAAAATTTGTTCTCACTTGATTCTGCTTTAGTATATTTGATAACTCTGAAAGGAAAAGGAGGAATGACACCCCTTTAGGAAAATGACAGAATCACAACTAAGATGGTTAGCAATATGAGAAAAGCATTGGTAGCCCGAATCATATAAGCTGGTCCGATGGAGGACAGTCCACTAATTAGAGATAGATTAACATGGAGTAAAACTTTTGGTGATCTGTTAGGATACTGGTTTACCAGAATCCTAACATGATCCCATTAAAAAGGACAGATCTAAACAGTCTTTCTAAAGACTTGGTTTTCATTGACCACAATGGCATCATTTGATCCACGTAACTGACACCTAAAGTAGACAGACTTTAGATGTTGTTTAACTTGTTAATGTTGTAGCTTTGGTTTTCTGGACATAACAAGTCTTATAGACATGTTTAATAAGACATTAAGCATTGCACAAGAAACTCAGAACTCAGAAATATATGTGTCAATAAGGCAAACATGTTATACCAGTAATATATCTGTCAATATAGCAGGACTACAGCAAAAACAAAAAACAATCCACAACTAGAAGTATTTATTATGAAATTTAATATTCTTAGCACCACATCAATCAAAATAACACATCATATTACAAATATGTCATCTCACAATTAGGACTATCAAAGGCCACAATTGTATCACTTTTATCCTTCTCCTTGGAGATATTGCTTACAACCATATATCCTACCACCTCACAAAACCAGGACCAATTGTTCAATTTTAGCTTCTACTGAGAATTACAACAGAAATTTCATTACAAGATTGCCCTGATCTCAATACAGATGGATACCAATCTACAAAGTATGTCCCCCGAAGCCCATCATGTCCTAGCACCATTTGAATTTCATTAGTGCAGAAATAATTTCCATTTCTGTTAATGCAAGGAGTTGTTATTCTACTTCATATTTCTCTTCAGAAATAAAATCCCAACACAATGGGTTCCATCTTGTAACTAAATGCAATAGTTTCATGCAAAATTATATCAAAGTAGTTGGATATGAATACAGACAATTACCTTCCACCGTAGAGAAGAAAGCCAAGGGCTGCAAACAAAGAGACACCTATTGCAACATATATATAATATGCATTAGCAAAAACTAATAAAAGCCACAATCAATTAAAAAAGACAAACCAAATCTCCAGCATAGAGTCATTGACAAACCTGCAAAGAACATCTTAGACAGAACGAGCAGTGCACTGACGGGTTTCCACCACAATATTAGCCATAAAGCAATCTGATAAATATTAAACCAAAAAACAAGATAGGTCATATTCAAAAAACTCAACTAGTCAACATGAAAGTAACAGCCATCTGAACCTTGCAATGCATATAAAAAAACTAATGACACAAGATATACAGACTTTATAAACAATGTGACTTTCAGTAGATTTAAGTCCCCCAATGTGATCACAGGGGCATACGCATCACAAGTTAATTGAGGAGTGATTTAGCTTTAACAAATAGGGAGTAAAAAATGGAAATTACAGTTCTGCTTTTAAAGCAGTAGCATCACTAGGATCAGGCTATTAGTTAATATATTTAAATGAAAATAATATGAGGAAACAAAGGCATGAACTTGTTGTCAACTGTCATCAGGTCCTTTAAAAAAGTTATTTATTTTAAATTTGATAGAACATGAAAACAGAATGTAAGATGCATATTATGAATTGTGAAGGTAATTTCAAGTTCTCCATAAACTTAAAATATAAGATGTTTGAATCCTCAAAATGGAAACATCTCGTATTAATCACTTTTAACATTAAGTTAACTATCAAGCTAAAATTCCCATTAAGTTATAACAATAAGATCAGTGTCTGACTGTCTAATGAAATAATATTATCTTGAACCATCCAATCATGGAAACACCTTCACTTTAGAGCAAAAGTACCAAACTACTCCATATCACTCTAGGGTCAAGACTCAAGGCATTTAATTCAATGCAATTGCATCCAAATTGCATAGAACACTCCAATATTTCCACTTGCCGTTTGATTATGTCCAGATTTCAAAATTGCACATACAAACTTATGCAATAGTTAAAGGTTCTTCATATCTTTACAGTATCTAACATATTACTAGAGTGCAATTGTCAGGCAGTTTGATTGTAGTTAAAACTCTTCTGATTATAGATTCTACATATACTAAGAAGCGTAGTCAACAATGAACTATAGCAGTGCAGTGTAGAAAAGTGGCCATAGGCTGCTACAGGATTCGAATAGTAGAGTGGTTTTCAGTAGCAGCCATCACAGCCATAATTGTGAACAAAATAGTGGCATCCTGCACACACACTGGCACTAGAACTAGAACTGTGATGAATTTCAGAAACCATTTTTAACCCTGTGATGGCATCATCCATGGGGGCGTTTGCCAGGAAAATTTTTGATTTGTGTCCCCTTTTAAGAACTGAAGGAAAATCCCTATCTTTTTCTAGTGTTCCCACTTCCCACCATGCGACCCTCTCATGCATCCAGAGTCTGGATGAACAACACCCACCCATCCTTCTCCAGCATTATTTCCAGGGTTGTCGAGCATTCTACAGCCAGAATATTTTTCTAAAGAAATTTCTAATTTAAGAATTTCTATACTTTTGACTATTTTGTATATGTATGACATAGTTTTCTTATATCTCATATCATACCCATGATTTTTCTCCCACTTCTATGCAAGGAAATACAAATGAAAATATGGAAACAGACTCGCGCAACATCATGACTTTAAAACAACAAAATATATTCCACCAACCTACAGTCGTGGGTTACCAAAAGTTGAAAATTGAGCAAGAATTTTCACCTGAACAACATAAACCACAATATTAATTGTATAGAAACTTGGTTTCAGTCCATCAGTCGATACAGCACGTGCCTGCAAAAACATTTAAAACCGAGGCAGCATTCAGCCCATCAAGACCAAACAGCGAAACACAATGCCATGGAAGAAGAAAATCACTAGAGGCAAACCAACCACAGGGAAGCAAATGCACCACAAATCAAACTTGCCTGGTAATAAATCTCAGCCCAGAACAGAACCAAAAGGGCATATGTTGTAAAGAAAGCAAGACTTGGCACGTCAATCAGGATGTGTTGAACAATCTATACACACAAATGCAGTGTGAATGAGTATATATACGAGTGTAACCATATCCTGTAACTAAAAAATAATAAATAATTAATACTATTTAAGAAAATAATTCAAATTAAATGTTTATTCCATTCCCTATACCTCTGGCTTCAACCTCTGTACGTTTCGAAAGAAGATGAAAACTAAACACCGAACTGCAAAAAAAAAAAAAAAAATGTGTGCATACACCCTTAACAAATTGTTACACTAAAAAACCATTTCAAAAAAACAGGAAAAGAAGTTTGAAGAATACAAACCCCCGTTCACCAAAAAATTGAGAAAGTGAAAGACCTTCTGCGTGGTCCAACCATACTCCGGTACTCTCAATTGTATCCGAAACAGTTGAACCTAAAATCCAATAAAATAATAATTATAAAAAAAAAGGAATAAACAAAAATAAAACCCTAATTTGAAACTACGCGACGATACCAAAGCTACTGTGGCCACGACACCGTAGAGCACGGCGAGTGTGTAAAAGATACGATCCTGCCACAGCGGAGAGTTGTCGATGTCGTGCCACCAGCTGAAGGCGTCAGTGAGCTCAAGCGCCGCCACCGCCGCCGGCATGCCGTCGTTGCCCATTCTCGAATCGACGGTTTCTTTGGAGAGTGAATGAATGAACTAAGAAATCAGCAGTGTAATATGAGGTTGTGTGATAACAAGGAATTATTGTGTACGTGTGTATCAAGCATCAACCTCCAGGGTTTTTATAAATAAAAAAAAAAAAAAAAAAAACAACAAAAAACACCTCGAGGGTGAAAATAAAGAAGTTAATGCGACAGAATTTAATATTTTATTTTTTTGATAATATATATATCTTTCGAGAAATTCTCGCATAGTTAATATTGCATTTATAGATGTAGTTAATTTTACTTTTAAAATATTAATTATTGTTAAATACTTATAAATTCATAAATTATTAATCCACCCTTTATAGCCATCCTTGTGTATAAAATATAAACCGTGTATAAAATTAGATTTTTATTTATAATAGTTATTTATGAATTAAATTTTTAATATTTTTAAAATAAATTATCAATTAATATAAATAATATTATGCTATAATATAAATTATTTATTTTTAAATATAATTTACATATTTAAAATTATTTATTTATATAAATTTTAGATATAATTTATATATTCAAATATAAT